GATGAGGTGATCCCTGATGAGAATCGGATCTGACACAGAGAGGACAGAGAGGGAGAGCTGCAGCCTTCAGGTACTATGCTGTGACAATGACAGTCAGTCAGTATATCACTCCCCTTCTTTTCCATCACTTCTGTACTGTAGAAGTGATGGAGAAGAAGGGGAGCGATATACTGATAGTAATATGTGTGACACCTGTGTACCTGCCTCCACATTAGTATCTAATCTATTAGTTTTATCTCTATTATTTAAATTATAATCAAAATTATGTGGGGGGATGCTCAATGGAGACTGTATGGACTCAATACTGTTCCCATTGAGCATCCCCCCCACATAATTTTGACTATAATTTAAATAATAGAGATAAAATATTTTTTAAAACATCTCTAATTGATGATGTTCCTAACCCCCTCCAATATCTCCCCCCCACCTGCAAACTACCCCACCTACATCCTTAAGGGCCCAGTCACACCATAAGGAGTGCGTTCCAGTGCGTTCAGCCTCTGGAACGCACTGGAACACAACCCGGCCGGCTCACTTTGTTTTGGAGCGGGAGGGGGCGTGGCAGTGCATTGAAGTCAATGGCACCACAGCCATGCCCCCCACCCACAGTGCGATAGCCGTCACCCGAATGTGTGGCACATCAGTGCCTGCGTTCTGCTCCAGTGCGATCTGCCAAAATGCTGCATGCACTACTGTTTTGCAGATCCCACTGGACCGGAACACAGGCACTGATGTGTCACGCATTCGGGTGACGGTGATCGCACTCTGGGTGGGGCGCATGGCTGCGGTGCCATTGACTTCAATGCGCAGCCACCCCCCCCGTCCCCCCGCCACAAAACACAGTGAGCTGGCCGTTACAGTACGCACTCTTTATGGTGTGACTGGGCCCTCAGGCTGTGACCCACTGCACGCGAAGCAGCGCGCAGCGGTGGCGCGCTGCCTTCACGTGCAGTGTGTCATGTAATTTTGTCTCCGGCACGGCAGCTTGCTAGAGTGTGCATAGCTGAGCGTGCTGAGATTAAAAATGTCATCTTCAACCAATCGGCTTGCGCGTATAAACCCACGCGTCAAGATGCGAAGGCCATTCGGTTTTACGCTCGAGCCAATTGGCTGATGATGCAGTCCTTCATCTGGCCACACTCAGCTCACACACTGCATGCGAAGCTCCATGCCTGACAGCTTTGCTTTGCTCTGCACGGCTTTGCATGTAGTGTGTCACAGGCTTAAAGGAGAATTATAATCTGAGCCGACCTGTGACAATGACACTGTCACACGTCGGCTCAATAGATCGGGAAGTAAGCGAACACATACCGTTGCTCGCTCACTTCTTGATCTATTCCTGCAGAGAGCCGTAACTGTTACTCACAGCACTCTGCAGGGATTCCCCCCCTCTCCGATCCTCCAGCGCTGACTGGCGGAACGGACGGGGGAGGGGGCTGGCACAGCTGGCTCTGCCTCTGGATAGGCAGAGCCAGCTGTTAATCCCGCAGCTGGATGTATCCAGAGAGAATTGCCGGGATCAGCTTCAGTTGCGGTGTCTCAGTATACCGCGAGCTGTAGCTCGCGGTATACTGAGCTTAGGGTGACGGGAGGACGCTAGTTTGTGTCCTCCCGTTACCCTAAGGAGAACCATGGGGAAAAGCCCTGACCCCATAGTTCTCCTTTAACTACACTGTAAGTTTATTTTTTATGAAGTTGTTATTTATGTTAAGTTACATATCTTTATGTTTCTTATGTAACTGAAATAAACGGTTTAAATATCATTAATTCCTTGTTATTTATTTCATTTCCTCAAAAAAACATCGGGGGGGGGGGAGGGGGCACAATTTTCTGTTCTTGCCTCGGGCGCAAAATAGGCTAGCTACAGCTCTGTGGAGGCACCTGTAAATCATTATTTATGGGCCTTCCTTACCATCTTGTCTTGATTTGTATTGTGATTGTAATGTCTTTCCTATATTGTAAAGCGCTGCGCAAACTGTTGGCGCTATATAAATCCTGTATAATAATAATTTAAATCACTGTCCAGTTGCAGGATGAGGAATAAATTGTAAGTTCTCACAGGCAGGGTCTTTCTAATCCTTTTGTATGGTATTGTATTGTAATTGTACTTCCCATATGTTGTAAAGCGCTGTGCAAACTAAACTGTTGGTGCTATATAAATCCTGTATAATAATAATAGTAATAATATTATTAATAATCTGCGTATTTAGCTGTTTGACTAGAGTTGAGCTCTAAGGTATATTAACAGCAAAACCACACCCAGAGACTGTAGCTTCAAAATAGGATAAAAAAATATGAAGAGCAAAGTTTTGGGCATTTTGAAGGTAATTAAACATTTCTTTCTCATCTTGATACCATGATACTGAAGTGTCAATATAATTCTGGCATTCTTACTAAATCTGTTATTAATTTAGGTGACTAGCCATGCTAATTGTTTTAACCTTCAGTTTTTATGCCCTTGTTTCACCTCATTAAATTTCAGATGAACCTTCTCTTCTCCAGCTGTCAATAGATTATTTAGCTTTTCAACCTGAACACTGTACTACAGCGTTCTTGGCACTGCTGATCTGCAAAACTTTTTTTCTACACAATTATAAAAAAAAAATGGGGTCACTGACAAAACAGAAAATGTGCATTACAGCACAAGTAGAAACTCCTCTGAGTGCAATATTTTGAATTTCCTAAAAGTTTTCTTTTTTTTTTTAGTATTTGCACTTATTTACTAATCCTTTGTTAACAAGGGCACCTCTTCTTCTGCCCTCACTGCCCATACAAAATGACTCATGAGAACAGAAGGACTTTGGACTATTATTTTTCCACTGCCAAGTGTCAATATATTGTTTTTTTCTAATTTGAAGGTAAACATAAACTACAGTTTTAGATCAAATTTGAAGTATATGATCCAACTGAAAAAAGGTGGAGTTAAAAATTACAAATGTATAGTAAAATGTATTTCTTGATTTTTCAGGTGGTGTAGACAAATATTTTAATGAACATTTTTGCAGAAAAAACAGTAGCCACTTTTGCAGTATGCATTATTAGTTGCAGCATGCATTATTTATCCACAGCAATAGAACATGAAGAAAACCACAACTACATTCCAAAATATAGAGAATCATGTTGTAATTCGAAAATATCAACTACCTCTTTCTACAGTCAAAGCACTGGGATATAAAAAAAATTGAAAGTAACAAATTGGTGATAGCAACCAGTAACATAATGGTTATTATTCTAAGTGAAGTTAAGAATCTATAATATCGTCATTTTTTATTTTCCCTTCAAATCGTTCAATGCTTAAGTGGTTAAAGCCTAAATCCAGGCACAACTTTTTTTAGTATTGGATCCAGTGGAAAGTCATTATTATTTCTGGCAGGTTTCTCCAAGCTTAAAGAGGAGCTTTACCCATATCTTTAAAATAACAACAAACACACCTTTGTTTAGTAATTTCAGGCTTTGTATTCCTTGGATACCTTATTTCTCTTTTCTTTCCCAGTCTTCTGAAAGTAGGCATTTTAACTAGCGGCTGATTACTAGCTCTTCATTTACTTATTGGAACTCTGGCACATGTGACTAGATATGTGACTAGGACATGTGACCATACACATCATCTCAGGGGAAAAAAAGGCCTTTCCTTGAGATCTCATGAGATTACAGATGAGATTTCCTAGCAATGCTCTGCTGATGCAATCTTCCCAGGATTCAATACTTTAGCACACTACATCATTTGTGCCAGAAATAGGCCAGTAAGTAGATACACTCTTTTTGTAAGTAAATTAAAAAACAAGTGCGTTTTACTAATGAATGTATTATGATTTTATATCAGCATGCAGAGTTGTATGCTGGTTTGATTTTTAGTAAAAGGGGGTGAAAGTCCACTTTAATGTTCTTATTCAGCAAAGATGCATGGCTAAATTTCATAACTACATTTGGTGGCGAATGTGGGTATTCAATATCATTTTTTGACCAGATTGGAATAGACAGATTTTGGGGACCGGGTCGTCAATGGTCATTTGCAAGCCTTTTTACCTTTTTAGTCCTCTATACCAAGTCACTTCAGGACATGATCAATAAAGTGCAACAGTTGACTCTGAACACTTGACATCTTTGAATATCAAGGGTTTAAGTAGATATTAACTCAAATGTCCTTTGTTTGCTTCTGAGCTTCATGTCTCCTGATACTAGTCAATGTAAAACCAGCTCAAATCAGCTTGGTACAACTTGAACCAACTACTTCAGCAACTGAAAGGTAAGTCAAATAATTTGAAACACAATTAAAATGAGCTCAGAAGCACCAGAATGCTTACTGCCTATGTACATGAGCCCTTATGTACATGGATAGATGATAGATAGACAGACAGACAGACAGATAGATAGATAGATAGATAGATAGATAGATAGATAACATTATATACAGCAGCATTCATTGATGAATCAAGTAGATCTGGGAATGAATTTTGATTTGTGTGGATTTGTTTACTAATATCTTAGTCATTATAAATAACCAAGAAATTCGGTCATTCACTCGGCTGCCCTCGGCAGCTTTGTGAATAGACCCCTATATCTTTAGAAGCTTTATTTGCCTCCTTGAGCAGCAGAATAATGGTTGACAAAAACTTTGTTTTTACATGTTAATTTTGACTTAAAGTTTGCTGACAGACAATAAAGGCACCATAATGAAGAATTTAAACAACCAATGACAGTATAAAAGCATGTAATACAACCAAGCAGTCATTGTCAATCAAAATCCTCAGGGAGAACTAAATTGTCAACATTTAGTTGTGTTCAATGACATATTGATAAATCTCACATTAGTACCCTGTGCATAACATGAGGCAAGCATTTAAGAGCTCTCCTTAAGACAGCACTGATCAGCGTTTTTCTTTGAAAGGTGCAGACCCAATATTATCACTGCAAAAATAATAATGTGATGTATAGGATCGCCTCATGTGAACTGGGGAGGTTGAGCATGCAGGTTAATTAACAGAAGTTAAAATGCTTACTGGAAAGGAAGTGCTGAGACGTGGGGCCAAAATCCCTATGGGCTTCATGTAATTGTCTGATGCGCTCATCAATGGACACCTTAGAGTGAGAGAAGAAAAAAAGATTATTTCAACACATGATGATGAGCTGCAATTAGGGAAGCAGGATATTATTGTTCTGCAAACCTTAGGGTCTCAGGCAATGAGATGCTGTGTCAGGGCTTTAAAACTCTGAATTACTTTTTTTTTAATATTGTTTGAGAAACATTGCCCCGTTTAAAACTGGGACGCTTCAAAACATTAGAAAACAAATTGTTATTTTTCTATAAGCCATAAAATGGGAGACCATATGTCATTCCTTTATGACCTGAGGCTACAACATTAAGTGGTAAAGGTAACATCTTGCATACTCAGCTAATTCTCAAACATGTGTTTCTATTGCACAAACCTATATTGCTATCATTCTTTTTTATTTGTAAATCACTAGGGTATGAAAAATATGAGGCATGAAAGGCAATACAGAGGTCATGAGACATTGCATGCAAAGTAATTCCACTAATAGACTAATGTCAAAATAAGCCTACACCTAGAGGCTTGTTGGAGAACTGAGCAAAAGAAAAAAGAAAGCAATGAGCTGTGCTTAATGATAGCATCCAATTAGCTTTTTGCAATCTAGTATAGACTGAATGTTAGAAGATGATAGGAAGAATGTTAAAGGATGATTCCTAGTTTGTTTTTATTGCATATTGAGCTTATATTTTCAACATGTATCAGACACGTCTAAAATTTGCACCAATAGTTTCCACGTTTGCTTTTTTCATGTACCAGGGTACATTATAAAAACAGTTTGTACACGCTTAAAAAAATAACAAGCAGCATATTCTAAAGACACACACTAGTTAAGCATCAACATTTTTCATTTTTCATATTGAAGTCCAAATGCAGACCACACATTGAGATCCTCAATAAAATGTCCTTTATTAAATCACAGCATAAAAACAGTAACAAACATGCATTTTTCATGTAGACAAATCATGTAACTAGTTGCCCTGCTACTGTAGCTATATCCCTATTGTCACCTGTATCCTGAGCTTCTAAATGGCCCTGAAACCAAGCATTACCTAATGAATGTGTTTTTTTTATCTGGTTCCAGTTACCACTATCGATTTCAGTACTTATTGGTCCTACCTATATACATTCTTTAAATGTGAATGCATCAAGGTTTTTTCTCACATATGAAATGCAAAGGTATTGAGCCCAGCCAGAGATGTATCTTACTTCAGAAAACAGATGCAAGCTGTCTGTTGGGACGTAGAAGAGCTGAAGTCCAAACAGCTAAAAGATACTCGAGACAGACATTTACAAAATAATAAGTAGGAAAAAAAAGGACTGTAAAGTGCACAAAAAATACAGCTGTAAATAAAGACTATTTGAAAGAGTAACTACTGTATAGGCAAGAAATGAAAAAACACTTTCAAAGAAAAGTCCACACATAATTCTACATTTATGAAACGTATGGTAAGGAAGCATTAATGTGTGTTGAGATGGATTGTCCAGTGTAAAAAAAAATGATCATCCATGAGTTTAAGTCCCGTTAAAAGTAGCAAATGTCCTTTGTGACACCATTCTGCTTTTTTTGTGCTCTCTCATTCAGTCACTGCATACAATGTAATTCTGTCTACTATTGGTCACTCCTATATCCGCATACAATGTAATTCTGTCTACTATTGGTCACTCCTATATCCTCATACAGCTATGTGCAAAATGTCTAGGCATTTCATTTTTAACTTGTTAACTCTTTTAATAATAAAGTAAAAATAGAAAACACATACAACCTAATATTTTATTAGTTTGTTAGCAGAGCTGTCCTGAATGGAGTTCAACATCGGGATTAAAGTTTAGTGTTCAATATAGCAAAGACAAAGGAAAAAAAACAAGAAAACAGAAAAAACAGAAAAGGGCACTCATTATCAACATAAAATACAAATATAATAAACAGCTGACAGGAAATTTGAACAATGCAGCTATTGAGTTCGGAGGTGACTCAAAAACCACAAAAGAGACTGCAGAGAGAAATAATGGCTACAATCAGAATACATCTGGTCATGCACTTATGCTCCCTCATGTGAGAAATGCATAAAAATCTATGTGCAATAAATGTTTACAGCTAATGCATCATGATTTAGTAAATTATGGTACAGCTTACTCTTCTGTTCCTGAGGTATTTATTTGGAAAGGTGCAAGAGACCTTAATAAGACCTGTTCACCGCAAAGTAAATTATATTTATTGTATTTCTCTAGTTCAAACAATTAATTAATCTACCATTTACATTCTTAGTAGAAGAAGCAATCAATAAATCTACAACAATTAAATTAAATAAATATATAAAAGGATCTCAGCACAATTTGCAGAATGCCATGTAAAGTGTCTTCATAAATGGAGCATTATATTTAAAATATCTATCAAATATTAACAGCAACAGTATAATAGTAGTATATCAAAGCAGGCTGTGTGAGTACAGCATACAATTTTCGGCTTTAAACTAACCTACATACAAGATGATTTGTAGTTTATCAATAGTGAAAATGATCCTGGTTTGGGTATATATTAAAGGTAACGTATAGGGCAAACGCCCTCATCAAGCAACTATTGCAGAGAATGAGGGGACCCACTGTGCACTGATATCCCCAGAGCTCCAACAAGGAGGGTTCCGTAAGGCAAACATTGAACCAAGAGGCCAATTAACAGTGCAACATTACCCCAGTGTGGTTCCTAAATGGACAAAATACAGTACCATCTGAAAATGGAGAGAGAAAGATAAAGTAAAGAGAAAGGAGAGAAAGAAGAGACGAGGAAGGACTGCGTGGAGAACAGCGAGGCACAAACCAGCCACCACCAACATTACCTCTCAAAGGGATAGCAATGTGCGGTCAAGGTTCAGCGGGTTGATGTAATCCAGCCACGTATTCCAGGTTTTCAAAAATGAGGAGTGCGAATCAGATTAAATTGCTGTGAGTTTTTCATGCACCATTATGCCCATGATCCTTTGCTTAACCTCCAAAAAGTTCAGAGATGAGCGTTTCCAGGCCCAACGGGTCTGACGGGTGGCCAGGAAGATGAAAGCAGCCAGATTTCTCTTCCGCTTCATAACCACAGTAACTGGCCACTCTAGTAGAGCTTCTCAGGGTCTATGAACTAAGGAACAGTTAAGAGAACAGTTACTGTTCTCAACAATTTATACACCCATATCCACAATCTCTGCACTCTGTGACATTGCCACAAAATATGGAAAAGGGTGCCCCTGAAAGCACAACCCCAGAAACAATGAGAAGGAGCCTCTGGGGATAATTTAGAGATCCTATCTGGAGTCATAAACCAGCTGAACAATACCTTATGGGCATTTTTCTGAACTAAGATATTGGGTGAGTCGGTAGCGGCAGCTAAACAAATCTTCCGCCCATTCAGGCAGATCTCCCAGATCTCGTTCCCAAGCCTGCATACAAGACAGTTTGGAAGCCCCACGGAAGGCGATAAGTCAGCATATAACATGGAGATAAGACCTGCTAGAACGTGGATCTGAGTTGCTGTGAGCTTCAAAGGGTGTGAAGTTATGCGGGCAACCGAGACAATGTCGGAGGAGAGATCTAACACAACTACTAATTTGTAGGAATCTAAACGTTCTTCCAAAGGCAGCTGTAAAATGTTCATGTAAGTACGAAAAGGATTTGACACCATCCAAAAATAGCAGCTCAAGAGCAAACCTAACACACCGATGGATCCACCATTCGAATGCCGAGGGATTCTAAAAGCTGGGAGGAAAGAGGGATTCCCAATGATGTCTGAAAGAGGGAGGTTCTGAGAAATAAGATCCGCCCAACAGCCAGGGTGCATAGAAGCAATTGTTTTTTATGTGTGCTTGCATTGAGAATGTGTGGATCAATGCAGATCAGTGCAGGTCAATGGACATGGTCTGAATGAGCCCTTCAGCTAATTATATCCCTCTACTAAAAAATTCAAAAAGTAATTTGCTTTATCTTTCACTTTTAGTAGCAGAAGTTTGATTATGCACTGACTGACTGTTTTTAATTGTATTTTAACACTTCTGATTCAAGCTAAGTCTATAGCTGGAACTTGACTACATGTCAGTGCTGAGTATCGACCAACAGGTTGAGGAGGGTGCAGTCTATTTGTTAAATTTTACACTTTCTAATGAAAACAGAATGGCCTTTAGGGCTTGTTCACACCATAAGAGTTGGGGCTTTACTGGCAGCTTTTTCCAACACAGCCCCAATGCACAGACAAGGCAATTTGCCTTGTTTCAATGGGCATAATTCATACTTTTACGTTGCAGTGGTGTGTACTGAAGAAAAAAATACGGAATATTGTACTTTTTCAGCGCAGTGGGGTGTGACTTGGCACAACCACATTGCACCTCGCTGTGCCAACCGAACATCATAAAATGTCACTTCTGAAAAAAGAAAATAGGGAAGCACTGTGCCTCTCATTGCATACCACACTTTGCTCAGCATGGCTTGCTGGTGTCAACGAGCACTTAAAACATAAAGCCACCCAATTTTGAACACATACGCCTTTTCAATATTGAGATTACTTAGTTGCAAAGTTAAGTTGCATACAGAAATATGTCCATAACTCCTACTTCAAAGAATGAAAATACCCTAAAAAGCATGATCGAATTTGCTTTAACTTGGGAAAAAGTCCTTCTGGGCCCTAACAAAAATCGATTCAACATTCTATGTACTATATTCTATAAACATAGGCAACCCTTTACATTTTGATATTTTAGAAATATATCCAATTGTCTTTAGAGTATTTGCTACAATGTATTTCTGTAAAAGGTTATTCATTATTTTCCCAGCTTTTACAGTAAAGAATCTATTATGCAGTTGAATATTCAACTTTACATTTCCAATCATGTGTCCTTGCATCATTTGTGGTGACCTTGAAGTGATCAGTTTACTATTGCCTTTTCTATATTAGCCATTAGTGTTCCATGCCTAGGGATTTATAGAAGTGTACTGCATTGTGTTATTACTACTTGCGGTGGAAAAATACGCATTGTTTTTCAGTGCTTTGAAAGA